AGACAGAGAATTTGATAAAATATTCTAGCAATACTTATTGGAGCCATATGTCTGGATACAGTTTCCTTCTTAGTTAGAAATAAAAGCTAATCTAACATTTGTGATATTCTTTGACAGTCACTCTAATTATATAAGTTTGGATTTTAACTACAGTCGTCAAGATGTTCCCATTGTAGTGTCCAACTGTAATTGGTTAGGACAGGTTTCAATTTCCGTGGTACCAGACCTCCGATCGGGTGCCCTACGTAAAACCCACTCACTACTCATTTATACTAAAAATAGTATGAGATGGCGTCTGTTTGACTTGAGTGCCGTCTTACGACAGACATGCCTTACTCTGGACGTATTTTAGATGCTTTCCCACGGCAGAGAGGAAAGATTTGGACAGAAAACAAAGTTATGTGAGCTTATTAAGTAAGTACAGTGCTTGGTCAATCAGATTTCTTGCATTTTTTAATTTAATTTTTTAAAGAGATTAACAATCTTATTAGACTTATTGACCAGGACACAATTACTAATAACGATTCTTAGTTTAAACAACGACTTTTATATTAATACATTTCTATATAACCTATTGTATTCAGCAAGTAAGCTTATATAGTTTAATGAAAATTGAAGTGGTACAAAAAAAATATCTTTATGATTTATGCCAGCACTTTTTTAATTAGTGGAAAAATTAGTAAAATAATCAAAAATAATGTGTCCGTTCGTGAGTTTTCGGTGAATGTTGGGGGTATTTACCATAAATAGTATTGACAAAGATATCGCTTGGAGTCTTTTTGTCATTTTATAAATAATTATTTGCTATATAACTTAACATATATTACTATATTTATATAAATACATTAATTTATTATATTCTTTCTTATATGTTCATGCTTCCTATAGCAAATAAAGTCACGTTTTTAGTTTACTATCTGAAAATCGCAATAGACCCTAAAGCTTCTCAAACGTGTGTCTAAAAACTCTGACAATAAAACAATTTCAGGTTGTAAATCCCCCAGACTTACATTTTTATGAGGATATTTGCTTATTTAATTTTTTAAATGTTTATAAAATAATAAATATGTATTTACAACTCCTTGAGCTGTCAATTCGCATTGTGTGTTTTTCTCATAAAAAAAGAGAGCTGAACATTTAATTTTTTTCCGCTGCGTTCATTGAATTCCAGTAGGTCTTTCGCTGGTACCGCTTAAAAACGCACTTAATTCATTTTATTCGTTTATGAGGCATAATTTCAGTTGCGTGCGGTCATAAAAAGAAAAGGACAAAATCGCAATAATAAAGGCGAAATAATGAATTTCTGCAGCAGTCCAATTCACTTCAGCGTTCGCAAAGCTTCGAGGCAATACAATGTGAGAGCGTTCCTTTGCGTTCCGTAGAAAGCACTGGTACTTGAGCATGTTATTGCCACTTGGACGCACTTTATGACATGGTGGCCGCCAATGCTGTCGTGGTAGTCATAAGCCGTCCTGGCATAGTCATCGACTTCATCATCATTGCCATTACCATTGTCGTTGCCGTTGTCGTTGTCGTTGTCGTCATCAGTCTGAAATCTGAAATCTGCTGCCATGTTTTTGCGTTTATCTTCACGCTTAGATTAACGCGTTTAATTGGCTTTTATGCAAAAGTCAATTAAAAATTTCTGTTCCCTGTGCCGAGTTGATGTCCTGACTTGACGTCCTCTCATTTGCTATTTGCTTACCCTTTTAAAAAATTTTACTCTATCATGCATGCGACATCAACTGTGCGTACTTTTATTAATTAAACTGCGTTTGTAAATTTTTATGCGTATTTACGCATTTTAATTTTGATTTTAACTTTTTTGTTTGAAATACGTGCATTCATTTCTCCCTGCCCCTTCACAGGTCTGTGCAAATAATTTTAAATAAACTGTTAAATAATTTATTTTATTCGTCATGCACAAGTTTTTATTCTTCGGGAAATGCGTGCAAGTATTTTTAAGGTGCTGGGAAGTGAAAGGTACACGAACTTCTGCAAAAATTTAATTTAAAATGAAAACAAAGTCATGGAAATAATGTATGGGTTTTAATGGTATGATATTGTTACAAACATTAAGATGAGTAGTTACAAATATAGTAGTAACCGTATCAATAGGAAAATGCTAGTCAAAACTATAGCATAGTATCATTGGAAGGTGGTGATTGACTAATGACCAGTTACAGCTTTACCGCTTAGCTCAATTTTATAGATTTATAGCAGCACAGGCAGCTGTTACATCAAGCTTACTATACCCTTTGATGTCGATGTAACCAAAGAGTTGGACACATTTGTAAAATACTGTGTCATTACGACTAATACCTGCATTGAGTATTAACCTTTTCGCAATGCAATTGAAGAGATTACAAGATCAGACGTCATCTTGTCTAAAGTCTTGCACGGTATAAAAGGTGTGCAGATACACAATCCTTCCGTGGCGGAACCACAAGTACTACTCAAGGTCATTCTGGTAAGTTGTATTACTCAGACTTTAGTCGACTCTTAATAATCGCGAGTCAATTACTCTCGGAATACTGAGGTTAGACATTGGGGCGTAAAAGCGAACCCCTACGAGGCTATTAAAAGCTGCTTTTAATCAACAAAAATGTTGTGAGAGTCGATATTATGTGCGTGGATCAGGATTTCCAAATATATGCTCAATATTAATATTGGTATATTTGGGTGACCAATTTGAAAGCCGAATTCATTAGGTCCAATCAGTGAGTTGACCTGTGGCTTCAACTTTTTACACAGTACAGTTAAAAGGATCTTGTCGCGGGAAGTACAAGGCTGAATTTGCGATAATTAGCGCAAATCGTTGAGTTGCTTTTTTTTTATGACAGAAAAGGTCGTGTTGAGATTTACGCGATCGTTTAAATAAACGAAAAATAGATACTAGAATGGACACTAAAAATATGTACTTGCATATGCTTTTAGTATTTAAAGAAAGAAATGTCCAGAGAGATGGAATAGGGTTAGAAATTGGCAGTTCAAATCTCTGCTGAAGAATTTTCTAAAAATCTTTTGATATTAAAGTATGGACTCAGTTTCTTTTCACAGTCTTTCTCAGTCTAATAGCAGAGATCTTTTTAACTCATTCTTAAGAGGTCATTTTAGTGGGTTCTGTGAGTTGATGCTTTTTACTTACCACAAAAAAAATGTGTACGTCTACTTAAAATCACCTTTATTATATTAATAATATTCACTGTAATTCTCACTTGAAGAATTCTTAAGAATTCTTGAAAGGAAGTAATATACGCTAACGGAAGCATCCATAAGTCCGATTTGTATCTTCATTTGCATCGATTCATTTGAAATTAAATTTGAAATTTAAATTTGTTGCTCATTTCCAACATCCTGAGTGCTTCTTTCTTCAAATATTGAAAGCATGTTAAGCGTAATATGAACAAAGGACACGACCCTGTTTTATGCGAGCATCATTGAAGCCATGGAAGCAGCATTGCCAAAGCGAAAACTTTGAATTTCAAGTGAAAGTCAACGTGGCGCTCAATTTGTTTCCTTCCGCTTTTACTTCGATTTTAGTATGCGCCATTTT